TGTTTTTATCTACCCTTTGTCTTTAATGAAATGGACGTTTATACTTCGAAGAGATGCTTCTCCTACAGGGAAGGTCCCACGATCCTTCAGGCCCGTTACGTCACCAACAACGACCAGGCTCCAGCCGTGTTCTACCAGTGCAGTGACGTCAGAGTGGTGCCCCGCAGACCCCCACAAGCGGTGATCAAGCCGTGAGCTCGACTGGACAACTTGGAGTTGTCGAAGCGGCACGACGTTCGTCGTTTCTGTGTTCTGCAAAGTTTCCACTTTCAACCTGGTTCAAAGGCCTTGCAGCAAGTTGCCACATCCACCCTTACACATTTGTTAATGAATAATAAACTTCATTTTCCTCACTTACGGCTAACAGTGTTGATAGAGGCGTTAAACCAACAACATACCATTTTCAAACTAAGTGCAAAATATTATTCCAAGTTCACCAGTTTACAATTCCACACCCATTCCACAGCTACATAACCAGTTGTATTCCCACGCCCATTCCTACTCTTTCAAATAAGTTCCACTTTCACACCGAATACACAGAATATCGAATAAAAGGATGTTCTACTTCTACACTCTTTCCAGAGCTTGTTTTACAAGCCTTACTTCCACAGATTCCAAAACGTCACATCAATATCCACTCCCAGTTCCATTTCAAAGCGTTATAACAAGTTCTATTTCTACTGTCATGAAACGAAACAAGTTTTATTTTCATACCTATTTTAAGGTTTATTCCTCCCCTTCCTCACCCAGTATACGGAATGACAGGAAATTCCACTTAAACAACCATAATATCACAGCTTTATATTATAACAAGCTTCACTTCTCCACACAGTATAGAATTACACGACATTTCAATGTCACACTCTTACGTGCTTGAATAAGAGTTTTTCTCCTTACACTAGATCTGAAGGTATAACAATATCATCATTATAGTAGGCTGCAAGATTTATTGCCTTTAATAGGATTTTGTTGGGCTGTCGTTTGTTTGTGCCGTTTTGCTTCGAATCGAACACTACTGATGACGATGAAGGTGATGTGATAAGGATGTTCGGAGGAAAGGATCTTGGGGCTCTTATCATTAATGTTAAATAAAAGAAATTAAAAGTATTTAATAGTATTATTTGCAAGACTTGGTTTCGTCACTTGGCGGGTCTTGAGCGGGGGAGAAAAGGGTGG